AAAAAAAAAAAAAAAAAAAGAGATGGACATCAGATTCCTTTTTTTCTTAATTAGGAATCCCTACTTTAAATCAAATACATCTTCCACTTCAAATCAATGCAGAACTTCGGGATGCTCAAGGGCTTGAGAAGAGTTTCTTTGGTAGCCTATCTGGAGCAGACCAGTATCTCTGTCTCTCCTGTACCATATTCTTGCTTTTAGAGCTCCTGTGTCTCCCTGCATTTCACCTACCCTTGCAGTGCAACTGAGGGGCTTGCAATTTTGAGAGTAGCATCCTCCCTCCAAAAAACAACTAGGTTTAGGAATAGACAGTTATAATATTCCAATATTTTGGTGGTTTTTTTTCAAGAATGCTTTTATCATTGCTGTGACCTCACCAAGATTTTGTCTTTATTTTTATCTCAAAGTTGACATTTTACAAGTTATTTAGGAACTACTGATAATTTTTATTGACAAAATCTTGAATGGTTAAATAACGACTAGCTTTCACAATTTGCCTCTTATTTATTTCATAATGTAGCTCAGCTACTAAATTTAACTGTGAACTAATGGACTGTCTGTTCTGGGAAATAAATTGTTTTCCACCCTTGCACACAAGGTTTATGAGTGTTTGAATGTAAATATACGAATATAAACATATCACCGCTTGTTGTAATCATGTACATTTTTACTTGAACCTCAATGTGGGTTTGGAAAATGTTTATGAATAGAGCTTGTTTTCATGTAAATGGGATCAAGCAGTACTACTGGTTAGCTATTCAGACAATCAGACAATACCACCCTTGCTGGAAATACTTCAATAAGAATTTATCCATGTACCTAATATTTGAACTCAGCTTTTTTGCTTTATAGTCCCCTGTTCTAATCCCAGATCTTATTGACTGATAATGAACTGTATGACAGTGTTAAAGTAAATGCAATCTATTCTATCTGTTTTTATCACTGCATACTTTAGATTTCACCTGAGGAGCTGAAAGAAAAGAGATTTCTCTTCCTCTTAAATGGCAGCCCAAAAATTCAGAAAGCAAAAACACCACCAGCAGTTCTGAAGGGATTTGTTCTTTTGGGAGAAAAAACTCCTACAAAAATAAAAAGAAGATTCTACTTTGGTAAGTGTATTCTACATTTTTAACCAGCCTGCCAACATATCAGGTAAACTAATGGTTTCTGTTACAGAAACAATTATTTTTAAGAAGAGAGAAGCATTACAGTCATTTTATGCTTATTAAAGTAACATGGATGTGTATTTGCATTTTGGCACTTGGAACAACAAAAATAAAGGTAATTTGTATATAAAAATCTGTTTTAAACTAACCTTCACACAGCTGTATATTAAAAATCTATAAATATTTATATGCTTACCTGCATCTTGCTGCTTCAAATATACAAAAACAGGAGACTGCAAGTGCATTATGTATTTTATCTTTCACATTTAATCTATTGTTTCCTAAAAAAACCCACACTTTTTCTAAACAGGCTGGGTGGAGTATTAAGTTAGAATATTAATGAAAAAACTACTTAAATCTTGCTCTCTGCTATTCTCCCTAGTACAAATAGGATGACATGGTGTGAGTATCAAGAATACAAGAGATGGCAAAGCCAGGTTGTTTTGATATTTGTGTGAAGAACAAATTTAACTCTAAATCTCTTGGCAGGACCTTGCTTCACCCACATAATCTGAAGAACATCCATATGCGAGCCTTGTCTAAGCCTCTGAGAAGACTGCTGCCCTCCTGCTCATGTCCGCCAGCACTCTGATCTGACTTTCATACTTAATCTGATCTAATCCTGTCCAGCATTAACTTCATCTGTGCAATGAAACCTGGAGTATCCATTCTAGTATTTGGTGAGGAAGGCATTTACTAAATTACTTGCTGAAATCATATGGTGTTGTTTAGCTCCTTATTTTAATCAGATGATACATCTCTGAAGCATATTATCAGTGATTAGTTAGAAACCCATCTCTGTCCTTTTTGGGAACAAAGAACTTTTCTGGAATGAAATGCTCATGGAAATGAAGCACTGTTGCATTTAGCACAAGTCAAGAAACAGGCATCAGCAAAGGACAAAAGAAAAATAATACTCTGGCCACTATTAAAAAAAATCAGCAACGTTTCTAAAAAACTAGAATTTGCTTAATCAGCAAAACAAAACAAAAAGACTTTGGTGGTCATATTTTAGAAGAAGCCAAGAAGTGTATTGTTTAAAAAGACAATAGACAGCTTCTTGCTCCCCGCCCTCCTTTTTCTTTTACCTATTTTCATAGTAAGATTCAGAAATCTGCTGAATTCAGCTATCTTGTGCAGGCATTATTTTCAGAATTGGACTCTTACAGCGATTGCATGTATGCCAGCAAAAACATATTTGTGTTATGGCAGTGAAAAGCAAACATAAAATTTAGTGCGGAAAGAAAGGGTTTAAAATAATCTACCTCAAATGTTTTTAATGAAACTTCCACTTACATTTTCTAGCTTGCTTCATCATGTAAGATTTAATATTA